GGCTGCACGCTAACTTCCAGGCCAGAATAAATGACTGAGGCAGCGTTCCTCTAGCACAACTCCTCCCTTGTAGAGAGGGAGTGGGACTCTGCGGCAAAGCTAACACAAACTCTACCATAATGATTAACTTCTGTGAAGGGGGAAACTGCTGACTGGCTAGGAACAGAAGAGGGTGGGGGGGGGATCCTCAGAGAAAAAGCAACCAGCATCCCCCTTTCCACAGAGCTCATTTTGCAACAGTATGGAGGGCATAACTCTTCAACCTGAAGAGCCAAAAGAGTAATGTCAACCAGCCTGGGAAGAACCACAAAGCTATACAAGCCTAGTCCTTGTTCATCAGTGCTATCCAGAATTATCCAGAGCCAGGCTGCATCCCTTTCCTGGTAAATAAGGTAGCACCCTTTCAGGCGAACAGAAAGAAGACACCTGTTCAAGCCAATAGTTCTACTTTTATCTAATAGGGAAGGCAACACTCTGCCTGCATCTACTTACTAGTAATTCACTTCAAATGCTAAAGAAAACAAATTTAAAAAGTCATCTTCCTGAATAAAAAATATGGATGTCAGTTCAAGAAGAAATGATGGTCATCTTTTTCAAAGGAAGTGAGATCTTTGGATCCAGGATCTGGATATAGCCATCTATACTGCCTTTGGAAAAAATAGCAAAGGTATTTCCCCCCAAAATGCAAATGAGTGGCTTGTATGTATGTGGGGCAGGATGCAGAACCAACTACAGCCTCCAGCAACCAGGTACCTCACTGAGGCAGCTCCTAACCTGCCTCCATGACACATTTAACACCTGGAAAATCAAATGATTCCAGGCATAGACATCTCTCACATTGGGGGGGGGGGGATCCAGCATCCTTGTCTGATTGATAGTGCAATATTCCATGAGAATGTGCAAAGCAGTTAAAAAAAAAAAGCTTAAACGTAGCTCCCCACCCCCAAGGATAGCACCATACTCAGAGAAAAGAACTAGCAACCAAAAGCAAGCATCCCAGGAGTTTTACAAAATTACAGAATAACAGAGTTGGAAGGGATTTTAGAGGTCTTCTATTCCAACCCTTCTGTTCAAGCAGGAGATCTTACACCATTCTGAACAAATGGATGTCCAATCTCCACTTAAAAGAATAATAAAATAATTCCTATTATGTGACTTTAAGTTTGCGCTGCAGAACTAGCACAAACTCAGGAGAAAAAAAACATAGGGCAAAAACAGTATTCTTCTAGCATCTTACAGACTAGCACATTTATTAAAAGCTTCTGTGGAGTATCTTTGAAGGGTTTAAAACTGCAAGACTGTACTTTCCAGGAATCAAAAAGGACTCTCTAGATCTCATGAAGGTTCAGTTCTAGATGAAACCTCCACAGAATTTGATTGCTGCCGTCTAAAACCACCTTTTAAAGATGTCAATTAATGTTTTATCATGATGTTTTTTAGTAATATCATTGCAGCTTAATTTAATTGTCTAAGTAAAAGTAGAGACAGTTATCCTTTCCCTGCTATTGCAAGTGGACCATAATCCTCAGTTGAAGTGGCCAATGCCTGATATGATTAGCCAATTCCCAGGACCAATTCTTTGCAGCCAAGTTAACCTGGAAGGTAACCTTTCTGCAGACTGTAGTGTGATGAATCAGCCTTCATTGTGATTCACCATTTAGTATTTGGTTCAAAGCATACTTTCAGGTTTTAAAGACATGACAAATAGTAATCTACATAAGATATACTAGCAGATATAAGAATTAAAATAGTGAAGTCTTGAAAACCCTCCCCTTCCAACCCCAACTGGGTGAGCCCTTTTTTCTAATCCTGTTTGGAAATATATGACATTCTATGTTCCATAAATCTCTCTCATAATCAAATCAAGTATCCCTGCCCTTTTGTTATTGGGACTTCTATTTTAGGAGGTGTAGCCAAGATGTCTCATATTTCATGGGGTATAGAATTCGAGACTTAAAAGACTGCTTAGTGAATGGATGAGTTGGGAATCAAGGGGAAAAAAGGCAAGTTGGGGTAGCAATTCAGAACAACAGTCCTATCTTTCATGTTCTGGAAAGAAATTATGTCAAAACCTCTTCAGATGTGCTCTAAAAGATGGATCTTTTCATAAGTTTAAACGAGCATTGGTAACACTGGAACCAAATTAATTCATCTCTGGATTTGTTAACATCACATATGGAACAGCCAATCCACATGTGATTGCCTGAACAGCAAATCTTCAATTTTTATGCATATTTTCTCTCCCATAGCATAGGAGATACATAGTATAATCTTCAGTGATTCAGTGAAGAGGACAGGCAAACAGCAGTCCTGATTAGGATGACTTGGTATGTTCTAGTTAAGGAGGGCCCAAAGGAACCTCTGCAAAGCCATTGCAAGGTCTATATTCAACATCTGTAGTTGCTTGGATTAATTTATGTAGTTGTGTAAGAGGTAGTCTTGCCTCATTATTTCAGAAAGGTTTTAGCCGATTTGTCCTGTGAAATGAACAAGGCCATCAAGGTCACATTTATTCAGTCACATTTGCTTTAAATCAATGTCCCTTCTCTGGTTGGTTACCACCACCAGGGAGGTGATATATGGTTGGGCCTGTGTAATGGTGAATGCTTCTCTGAAGGAAGGAGAGAGGGGTTCCTCTGGCTATAGCTCTTGAGGCCTTCTGCAGCTGGAGTATTTTCATCTGTTCCCTTTCAACTCTGAATGAGGATGCATTCTCCCAATCAGAATTGGTATGCATCTTGGGAGTGGGGGGTCCTCCTGGACTTGTAGCTCCTATTCAAAGAGGAGGTGGTAACTGTAGCCAAGAGGGCCTTTGTACAAATCTACCCATGTTTCCCCAAAAATAAGAACAGGTCTTATTTTCTTTTGGACCCCAAAACTAGGGCTGCTTTTCAGGGCATGCCTTATTTTTTTCCATGTACAGGAGGCCCAATTCTTCTGCTTGCTTGTGGTGGGGCAGGATATGTAGCAGTTATTGCCACTGACACAACGTGGGGGTGATGGAGTTGCCCCACACCAGTTTACCTCAGGGCCCCTGCAGCCAGGCCATCCATGTCCCGGCACCTGCCTCACCTTGCGGCTGCAGCACCATCACACCACAACCTCCTGCTCTGTTGCAGTTGTGAGCAAGCAGAAGAAGTGGGCCGGTGGCCATGTAGGCTCCTGCTGGGAAATCGACTTACGGTTACTCATTCTTTAGTCACCTCCTGTCTGGACTACTATAATATACATCACATGGGCTGCCCTTGAAGAATATTTGGAAGCTTCTGGTCAGGAAAAAAATGATAAATGATGAAATCCAGGATATATGCCTTCTCTTTGACTGACTTATGGAACACCATTCCACACAGAATACAGATAGTCTGGACTTCCATAAACTTTAAAGATCTGACATTTCTACCAAGCTTTGAGCCAGGATTTTAAATGAACCTAGTTTATATGATTTGCATGTTTTTGCTTTTATTTTACTGAGACTTTGATATCATCGTAATGGTGTTGATTGTTATCATTTTTTCTTTGTTTTATGGTTAATATGTTAATTGTTGTTAGCCACTTGAAGTCATATGTAACATGGGTGGCCATATAAGTATTTTAAATTAATTAAAATAAACATTTATTTTCTTTTCTTGCTTGATAGGTATTTACCCTAGCCAAAGAGCAGACAAGAGCAAATGAGCTAATGGTATTGTGGGGGCAGAGGAAATTAAGAAGACAATTGTAGCAAACAAGTCTCTTTGATCTTTACCTTCAAATAAATTTGACAGACTAAAAGTACCACCTTCCATTTGGCTCTATGTTGACAGATCATAAGAACAAATGGGCAGAATGAGAAACTATCAGGCATTAGAATGCACTAGATTTGCACCAATAGTACAGATGGAAGTTATCTTAGCTTAAAGTTACTAAATTTGCACTACTATTAATCTTCCCATTGTTCCTATCACCCATCTCTTCTCACTTATGACTGTATGACTGTAACCTTGTTGCTGGTATCCTTATTATTTATATTGACTGTTTCCCTATGACTATCAATAAGTGTTGTACCTTATGATTCTTGACGAACGTATCTTTTCTTTTATGTACACTGAGAGCGTATGTACCAAGACAAATTCCTTGTGTGTCCAATCACACTTGGCCAATAAAGATTCTATTCTATTCTATTCTATTCTATTCTATTCTATTCTATTCTATTCTATTCTATTCTACTCTACTCTACTCTACTCTACTCTATTCTTAAAGTCAGCAGAGTAAACTTTTAATTTAGGGTTTCTGGAAGTACATTTGCTTCAGTGATGGATCTATCATAAGATTTATTTCCAGATATAGCAAATATGTCTAATTTTCCCAAAATCAGTTTTTAGTGTCTTGTATTTCCTGAAGTTTAAATCAATTCTGCCATAAACAGAGCTGCTGCAGTAATGGCTGCTTGCTTAGGAAAGAAAAAGGGCTCCCTCTGGAGTGTATTCAGAGTTAATACTGAGCTGGGATGAAGGACATCTTGAGGAAAGAAGGCACTTGCTCCTCCTTCTGAGCCATTGAAAGTTGGAGCTTTGCTGAGCTCTTCTCAAGCTTGCAAGGTTCAGGGCCTCCGAAGCCCAGAACAATCATTTTTATGCATGTATTCATGACCATCAGGCAAATGCAAGATTCATAAAGGGAAAAAGTTGCTATCAGAGACCTCAGGCCAAAGAAAGCCACCAGAATATACAACAAGGACTGAACCTCTAATTCTCATCAGTTATATACATTTAAAAACCTGGAAGAAGGTTAGTTATACTGTCAGGCAACAAATTTCATTTGAGATGGGAAGTAGTTGTGTCAAGAGTTAATAAGCTCATGCTTCATAGAGAACAGAAAAGGTTGCTCAGGAATAAAGATGATAGCAAAATGCGACTCTATGCTGCTCAATTTATTTGCATCCAACCCCATCATGACCAACACAACACCCAAACGTTTCATGCAGAATCAAAGAAAAACGAGTGTCAAGGCTGTTAACTTACTGCCTGTTTTTGTTCTTCTTCCTATAGAGAATTGTAATTGGAACATGAGAGAAAAAGAAAAAAAAAAGGGACAATTGTTATCTTGAAAATGCAAACATAGTTGAGTATTAGAGGGAACACCAATGTGACAAAACACACAAAGACACAAGGAATAGGGATCATATAAAACACTGCCGGGCCCTGGGTTTTTTCTTGTCAGTGTCTCACACCTAGAGGATTTATGGTCACATGAAAACACAAGAATTTGCCAGATAAGACATAAGTTCATTTGAATCAAACATTTTGTTCCCCCAATGATCAAAGAAGTTTATAAGGGAAGTCCACAAAACAAATCACAAAGACAATTAGTTTGTTTTATATCTTCTCCCTAGCAATTGTTATTCAAAGCAACTTGGTGTGATATCAGAGTTAATGTATAGTATAATATATAACAAGTTGACATTGACCACTTATACCTGAAAATTTATTAATCTTATGAAGCAATCCGTTTTAAAATTCCTAATGGCCCTAAACTTTGATCTGAACGAATGATAAGAGAAAATCTTGTTGGTTCAGTAGAACATCCCCAAATTCTGTGAAAACATGTTATTAATTCATTGGACAAATGCAAACCACTCAAATAATTAAACACTCTTGGTCTATCTTCATATGGTGAAAAGAAGCATAAAAAGAAGTGCATTGTAATGCTTCAAGACCCTCACAGAAAAGAATCCATATTCCAACCCATCTGAGGACTATACTTTAAGTACTAAATTAAATAAGTATTTTTATAGGTGCTGTGGATCAGATTCAGATGTTAGGAACTAAAATGTTCAGGAGTATGGAAGACAAAATCTGTGAGGAAATGCTGATAGAACATGAAAAAAAGATTGAGTAGGGTCAGGACAGGAATCTTCAAAGATTTGGTAGAAAAAGAAAATGGCTTGCTGCCTGCTGTCCCAGAGGGCATGGTTGTATTTAAGGACTTCAATTATAAGAGGAGATTTCAGATTTCAATGGGTTTTTCTATCAATAACAGCAAACCATCGATGAAATCAGTTATGCTGAGTAGGGTAGAAAAGCTCTGTCCCTAAAGTTGCATGCAGCTCTCGACCTAATTTCAAAAGCCCTCTGCAAGCAATTAGTTCAGGTCTCTTGCGAAACCATCTATCCCTCCCCAAGCAGTCCCACTGGAAGAGGCATGGAGAGAAAAGATTGTCCCACCCACCTTTGGCCCTAATTCCAGCCACTCCTAGCATGTAGCCCTCAATAGATTACACCAAGAGACTGTAGCCTTGGAGACCAAAAAAAATCTTCCCTAAGTTAAAGATATAGGGCGAGTTCTTCCCCATAAGAGCCTTTTAGCAGATGCTGGGTAATCCTTTGTTGAGATGATCTAGCTTTAGAGTTCCTGCATCAAGTAGAAACCTGGACCTTTTTTTTTTTTGGTCAGAAAGAAACAATTAAGAATGGTGGCGGGGAGGAAAACACAGCAAGTGCTAAAAGCTGGAACAAGCAGCTTCACTCCCACTAACCAAAGACAAAAATCTAGCAAAAGAGCCATCTCAGATCTATGCTATTCCTATATGCTTCAGCAACTGAACTAGTTCATCTCAGAATACTGGCCAACATCTCTGGTGAAAGAGCACAAGTTTTGTATGCAGCAAATCCCAAATTCAATCCCTTCAAATGTCAGATAAGAAGAGATTAATTGAAAAAGCACGCTCCAAGGACTGAAATAGAAGTTCCCAACACAAATGACCAATTAGCATAGCAGAGACATTGGCCAAAGGATGAGTGCAGACATGATGTACCTTGAGCAGCTTCATGAGTCCTTCCAGTTGTACCATCAGTTCCCTTCGGCTTTCCTGAAGAGCAGACATTCGTTGTTCCAATTCATCTTTCCTTTGCCTGTTCAAGATTAATAAAAGGATAATTTCATTCGTTTGTTATCTTGCCCTTCTGTAATCACTATCTTAAATTAATTTGGGAGTGGTTGGTTGATTACCGCAATAGCCTTAATTCAGCCAGTAAAGTTGGATTCTGCTGGGCTTTTTCAGGTGTTGGCTGGGAAGCCTGTTCATGTTCCAGTCTGAGGCGTTGAATTTCTTGCAGTATTTCTCTAGAAAAGTAAATGTGAAATTAGTTAAACACAGGTCTTCTTTTTTACTCAAATACCCTGGATGTACCTTTTGGAGTTGATACTCCGAAGATATCCTCCTATACATTAATAGAGTCTAAACTGGTAGAGGCTGACAAGGAAAAGGGTGTTGGAATCATGATTGACAGCTTAATGAAAAAGTCACTCTTATGTGCAGCTGCTATAAAAAAAAAGACAAATCCCATGGTTGAAATCATTAGGAAGGGAACTGGAAACAGAAATGTCTATATAATAATGTTATTATAGAAATCTATGGGCTGAGATCACATTTGCTGTATTGTGCTCAGTTCTGTTTACTGCACCTTACAAAGAGTATTATAGTGTTATAAAATGTGCAAAAAGGGGCAACTAATGATTAGGGGAATGGCTCCCTACAGAGGGAGATTACAACACCTGGGGCTCTTTAGATTGGAAAAGAGAATAAAGGGAAGTATACTACAGATACATATAATCTTGCATGGTTTAGATAACATGGAAGAGATTTGCCTTTGTTACAGTGTTAAAACTCAAGGTCATGTATTGAAACTAACTGCAAGACAAAAAGAAAGTAATATTTTCTCACATAGCACACAATTAAATTGCAAAAACCAAGGGCAGCCGTTGGAGGTAGTAACAACCCCAAACTGAATAACTTTTAAAAGGGAACTGAATATCAGTTTATCAAAACCATTAATATTGACCACTGTTTCCTGCTACCTAAAGAGGCGGCAGAAATTATTACATTTTATTATTTTTTTATGCTGCCCATCTCTCCCATATAAAGTGCCATTATATACTGGTTGTTCTCAAACAACCAATATAAGAGGTCTTTTGATTTATTCCAGACTTGTGAGCTTCCCAAATACAACTAGTAGATCTTTGTGTGACACAGAATGTTGGATTAGATAGGTTGATAGTCTAATCCGGCAGGACTCTTTTTATGCTATATGTATCTCCCTTATTACTATAGGAACTCAAACATCCCAAGCAACGTCACATTTATCTAAGAAAGGTTAAAGGAAAATGATCACTTTTTACACCATAGACACCCTATTAAGCATAAGATTCTATAACGCTATAGGAAAATTATTTCTTAATACAAGAAAAAGAGAAGGAAAATCAGATATATAAGCATTACAAGCTTCGGGGGGTTTGTTCTCTAAACATTTGCTGCTTTGTAATACTATTTATGGTTCCAAAGTTGCATTGAAAATGATAAATTGATGGCTGGAAGTTGCAGTTAATGTTTTAGGGAGGAAAAGGCACAGTGAGAAAGGATGAAAATACTAGGTGAGGCAGTCATGCCATCGTGCAAATGGGATGACCTAGGTTTTCCCTCCCCTCCCACTCCAGCTTCGGAGGCATAGTTTTGCTACTGTTTTAATACACTTAGTATATTATAAGGCATATTTAAAATATAAAACGTATTTGTTTTACGTTTTGGTGTGCCCAGAGTTGTGCTCTAAGATGGGTGGCCATACAAAACTTTTAAAGAAATAAATATAAATGGCTGAAATCGTATCATCAAAGTGATGGATTTTGCATATGGCTTAAAAGAAACATGAGAAACTTGCCTCACTGATTACAATCAGTATCAGTATCCAGCAAACTCAGTTTGTGGCTTGGACCTCATAAAAAACCACCAAACCAGCTCTATCTTCCTAAAATATAGTCACCTTGAATCTAAGATGAGCAGGGAAGGAAGGAAGGAAGGAAGGAAGGAAGGAAGGAAGGAAGGAAGGAAAGATTTATGGAGGGAGGAAAATCAGGACTATGGCAGCTCAGCCAATTAGGTAGGGATGAAGAAAGTTTGCTTTCTTAAGAACCCATAAAAGCTGTCATTCTCTCCCCTTCCCTCCCAATATCTTACCTGTTCTTGTTTTCCAGTTCTGCTATCAGTTGCCTCTGCTGTTTGTTGGCATCAAAATTGAACCCCAGATCTATTGGTGGCCGTGTCTGGTGAAAAACAGGCAACATTTAAATATGCTGACTCAACTCTGCCTAGAGTATATGGAGACACACAGATTTATGCTTCCATGGAAAACTCATGAAAAAGCTAATAAAAGAATTCAGAAAAAGTTGCTTGGTTCCATGTTCACATTGTTTTGGTGAGAAGTTTCTCAACATCTGGCAAGAATGGCAGGAAAAAATGAACAGAGAGAGAAACTTAAGGAAGAACTTTGTTAGAAGAAATTGACATGTTGAGAGAACATGGGATAGTTGGCCTTCTGGATCCTAAAACCTTCTCCTATTGAGAACACCCCATGATCCCTGATTCAATAAATCTTCAATGAACTCTTCAATTGTTTTATTTTTACTGTTCTGAATTGGGATGAAGCTTTTTCCTACAGGATCTAAGGCAACATCAGTCCCAATTAAATCAGTCATAAATGTGAGCATTAGTAGGAATGGATTTTTTAAAATTAAAATGTTTATTACAGTCATGTTTGAAGAACGGTCACTAACTGTATTACCCCTCTAAGTCTATATAGCAAAAGAAGGGAGGACAAATTGTGCTCCATACAGGTTAAAAAAGAACCAAAAATTAAAGATTCTTTCAATCCATAAAATATTTTACCTTCTTTCGAAAAGGTTCTTTTTTTGGGGCTGTGATTAGAGTATCAGTTCCATAAAAGGTGAACAGGGCTATATCTGATGCAATCTGATGATTTTAACCAGAGGCACTCCCAGCATTAAATATTCTACCTGATACACTGTAAAAACCTCAAAACAGTGAAGTGTTATCACATCTGCCCAGCCATATTCTAAGTCTCAACATTTAGCCAGCTAACTATAGCCAAGTATTAAACAAGATTATTGTTGCTCTTCCTCATGTAACAAAACATTTTTACAGCATTCTCCTCCAGATCACCTCAAGCAATAACCAGGGGTGGGCTGCTGGGGGTTCGCAGGGGTTCGGGAGAACCTCTAGTTAAGATTCTGTGCAGTTCAGAGAACCCCCAGATCCCACTCCTGGCTGGCCCTGTCCACCCTGCCCCTCCCCTCCCAGGAGTCCCCACATGGCCCGTTTTGGATGCAGGTATGTGCAGGGCGCATGTGGAGGCTCAGGGAGGGCAAAAAATGGGCCTGCCGGAAGTTCAGGAAGGGCCTCCAGAGCCTGAGGAGGCTGTTTTTGCCCTTCCAGAGACTCGAGGAAAGCCTCTGGAGCTCGAGGAGGGCAAAAACGCCCCCCCCCCGCCATGGTGCAGGAGGTTGACTAGGCCATGGCCACCATGGCCACGCCCACCCAGTAACCAGGCAGAGAACCCTTTGCTAAACTTTTTGAAGTCTACCCCTGGCAATAACTATCATCTTCCTTAATGGCATCTCTATTGATCCATAAGTATTAATTCTCAAGCTTGTTTTGTTACACAATAGCAATATACACCTTTCAATACCTGTTGCCTATGCTGCACATATGAAAGAAACATATGAAAACATGGAACTGTTGTTGAAGCACATACAGTACACCACATGCACCTGTGGAAATCTGTGGCAATCTAAAAGTAGTGGTTCTGCTCCTTGAAATGCAATTAGGATATACAAAGTACTGTTATTAATATGTATGGGAATGGAACAGCCATGCAAGAGTCACATTACATTAAAAAGAAATGGCCACTCCAAAAGATAGGACAGAAAAACGTGGCACATCAACTATTTATTGACCCAACAAAGATATCTGTGCCTCCACCTCACATAAAAACTTGTACTGATGAAAAATTTTGTGAAAGCAATGAACAAGGAAGGTGAAGGTTTTTGTTATATGAGACAGGTGTTTCTAAGAATAATGGATGTCAAGATTAAGAAAGGCATTTTTGTTGGTCCATAGATCAGATACATCATCAATGACAAACAATTCAAAGATCTGTTAATAGGGTCAGGGAAAATTGGTTGGAAAGCATTCAAGGATGTTGTTGAGAATTTTCTTGGCAACTACAGAGCATTAAATTACATTCAGCTGGTTGACAAATTTCTTACAGCATACAAGACCATGAAGTGCAACGTATCACCGAAGATTTATTTTCTGCATTCACACTTGGACTTCCTTCCCAAAGATCTACATGCAGTCAGTAACAAACATGGTGAAAAGTTTCACCAAAACATTGTCACAATAGAAAAATAGTATGAGGACAACTGGAATCCATCAATCCTGGCTGACTATTGTTGGACAATGTAGTAAGATGCACCAGACATTGAATACAATAAAAAATCAGCAGCAAAACCCTTTTAGCCCTGTTGAACTCATGCAATGTGTTAGAAACATGGGATTAAATACATTACAGTCATTAAAAGGTAATGTCATATTTCTCAAGATTCCTATGTGATACAGTTATTCTGAATTTATATTTGTGTTCAGTTTAAAGTGGTCTATCCTAATTGCCAAAGGTTTTTCAGGAAACAAAACTTTTGGAAATAAATGTTGTGCATTGTTAGCAATTAAAAATTTACTAATAATCAATTAAAATGTGATTTAGTGGAAACACTTGTCCTTCCCTTAAATCTTAATTTAGAGATATGGGACATGGCACATTTCATTTATACCTCTAGTTTGTGTAAACTAGAGGTATAATGCTTTCTATTTTTATCAGCTCCTCAAGTCTTCCTGAGCAGATTGCTCAGGAAGACTTGAGGAGCTGATAAAAATAGAAAGCATCCATCTTGCTGACCCACTGAAGGACACCGATCCTCAAGAGGTGAGAAGTGACACTCATATTCAAGAGCATACAGAGTCACATGTAAACACCTCCCATCTCACAGGACACACATTGCTCAGTGACATTCAATGCAACAAAAAACATAAATCAGTTGGAAAATGACTTTGGATGGTACTATTTCTAAACTTGCCAGCAAGAGAATGTAACAATATTAATAACAAAATAACAGAGTTGAAAGTGACCTTAGAGGTCTTCTAGTCCAACCGCCTGCTCAAGCAGGAAACCCTATACTTTTACACAAATCATTGTTCAATCTCTTCTTAAAAACCTCCAGTGTTGAGCACCCACAACTTCTGGAGGCAAATCATTCCACTGGTTAATTGTATGGTCAATTTTTTTTTGGTAATTTTAGATTGGTTCTCTCCTTGATTAGTTTCCATCCATTGCTTCTTATCCTGCCTTCGGGTGCTTTGGAGAATAGCTTGACTCCCTCTTCTTTGTGACAGCCTCTTAGATATTGGAACACTGCTATTATGTCACCCTTAGTCCTTCTTTTCATTAAACTATTGTGTTTCCCCGAAAATAAGACCCTGTCTTATATTTTTTTGCCACCCAAAAAAGGCACCATTATTTTTTGGTGGGGGGAGGGGATGTTGTCCACTGACTCACCTCACTTGCGCACATCACCCCCGGCCTCCTTTTCGCTGTCCAGAGGCCTTAAGGAACTTTTTCTGTGGCCGGCAAGGCTTTCCTGAAGGCCTTTGGAGCTGGTAACAGAGCTCTGGAGCTCTGTTATTGGCTGCAGAGGCCTTCAAGAAAGCCTTGCAGGCTGCAGAAGAAATGGGCCAGCAAGGCAGGTGTCAGGGTGTGTGAGGCCTGGCTGCAACTGTCCGAAGGTAAGTAATAAGGCAGCTCCACACACACCCCATCCCCCTCCAGCTTAATTTTTACCCGTGTACCCTGGAGTGGGTGGGGTCTTAATTAGGGCTTATGTTGGGGGTAGGTCTTATATTGGACGCACATGTAAAAACAAAGCTAGGACTTACTTTCAAGGTAGGTCATATTTTCGGGAAAACACAGTAGACATACCCAATTCCTGAAACCGTTCTTCATATGGTTTAGCGTTCAATCCCCTAATTATCTTACTGCTCTTCTCTGCACTCTTTCTTAGAATCTCAACATCTTTTTTGTATCAGGACTCTGAAATACTATGATTTTTAATAGTAACATTCTTGTTTATTTTTCATTCTTTCAATTACGTGGACTTTTCCCTTTTTGAAAGTGTATGCTTGTGTGTGCGTGCACGTGTCTGTGCACTTTATCCATGGAGAATTCTGCATGCTCAATACCTCGCGTTGTCATGAGGAGACAGAAAAAATGGTCTTCATGATCTGATAGAGCAATGGAAGCACCGTGCTAGAAAGCTATGCTACATATCTCAACCTGATATTTCTGCCTGATCTGGTTTCCTCCCAACTAACAGTATATCACAGCACTGTTCATTGGAATTTATAGAATCATAGGGCTGGCAGGGATCTTGGAGGTCTTTTAGTTCAATTCCCTGCTCAAGGCAGGAGTCCTTATACCATCCCGGAAAAATGGTTGTCTAATTTGTTCTTGAAAACCTTCAACAATGGAGCACCCACAAGCCTGAGAGGCAAGCTGTTCTACTGATGAATCATTCTCACTATCAGGAAATTCATCCTTATTTCCAGCTTGAATTTCCTTCTGATAAGCTTCCACCATTGCTTCCTGTCCTGCTCTCAGATACTATGGAGAATAAATCCACCCCTTCCCTATGATAACTCTTCAAGTACTGGAAGATTGCTATCATGTCTCCCCTGAGTTTAAACATACCTAGTTCCCTTAGTAGTTCATTGTATAGCAATAACAATAGCATTTAGATTTATATACTGCTTCACAGTGCTTTACACAACCTTCTCTAAGCAGTTTACAATTAGTATATTGCCCCCAACAATCTGGGTCCTCATTTACCAACCTAGGAAGGATGGAAGGCTGAGTCGGTCAATGAGAATCGAACTGCTGGCAGTCTGCAGAATTAGCCTGCAATACTGCACCACCACAGCTTGTATGATGAAGACCCCTTATCATCTTGTTGCTCTTCTCTGCACTCTTTCTAGGACCTCAGATCTTTTTGTATTGGAGTGACCAGACCTGGATGCAGCATTCCAAATGTGGTCTCACTAGTGTAGTATAGAGTGGTACTATTACTTCTTGTGATCTTGATGCTATCCCTCTGTTGATGCAGCCTAGAACTGCGTTTGCTTTTTTGGCAGCTGCAGCACACTACTAACTTAAGTAGTGATCCACAAGTTCTTCTTTGGGATCTATCCTATGCATTTGCTCTGTGGTACATTATCACAAACAGACTGCAAGGATCCTACTGCATGAATGCTACATATATATATAGAGAGAGATAGATAGATAGATACAGATAGATAGATAGATAGATAGATAGATAGATAGATAGATAGAGATAGAGATAGATATATAGATATAGATAGATATATAGATATAGATATAGATATAGATATAGATATATCAATTCATTTTAACAAACACTGTACAATATTAGCATGAGCCACTGCTGTGCTAATAGAACCCTACACAAGACAGGTGATTTCAGGATGCCCTAGTTTAGTGTCCTTCTGCTAATTTAGTTTTCTAAGGATTTGGGAACTTAGGTAGTCATTTCACATTTGTATCTTGATTATCAAAGAAAAGAAGATAAAAGCTCAGATGCCAAGAAACAAATTCAATTGCTCACCACATTTCCAGCTTCAGCAGCTAACCTGGCAGCATACCGAGCAATTAACCGATGTTCTTCATCCAGTCTGCTAGGACTGTCCAGGACACTGCTAAAGGAAAGAGATCTCACATTTACCAATTGGTATTTGCAACTCCAGAATATCAAATTCACACTAGGAAGATAAGTGATTGTCCAACATGACACAGAATATAAGCGGTGTATCTTGGGAATGCATTCTCAAGCTTCACTCATGAACCAATCATGCCCAATTTCATTTCTGCATAAAAAAGTAATAATTCTAGAATTATGGCTTCTAACTGCATTTTGTTGAAAAGTGTATGTAGAACTGCAACATATTTTACATATAGTATTTCTGGGGAGTACTGCATTTATATAGGCAAGCTCACAACACTTGACATTTACCAGCATCACTATTTTCAATATAAATTTTTGAAATTTAAGTGTGATTTTAAAAAAAATGGGTAAAAGATGTTTTAGTTGATAATAGTACAAAAAATAACATTGCACTGACTTTGTGTCACAGCATAAAGACTGGGCGATTGGCTCATATGCTCAAAACGTGAATGCACATATCAAAACCATATTTCTTCAAAAAGGTAGTAGAATAACATTAGCATAAATTTCATGAGTAGAATTTCTGCTGTGAACCCATTATGTCCCCTAAAAAGGAAATAGGGAGGAGGGGAAATAAAAGAATAATATATGATGACAAAGTCATATGAATGGCTTGCAAAAACAAAGTAAGAAAAAAACATAACATCCAAAGTGAAACACTTGTATTTTAATAGGCAGAAGCATTTTGTACTTCGCTTTTCAAGGACAAATGCAGTAAACAGTGTCAAATACTTTGGTATCCTAAAATCCAGTCAATGTGAATGGGATTTTTAAGGCTGAAGAACATTAAAAACAACTAGGGCTTCCAGTTAAAGTTTTCATTGTGCAATTCTTCATTGCATCCTTCAAGCCATTAAGACAAGAAAGACAGAATAACTGCAGGTTGCCACTGGATTGGTAGCAAGAGGGCAACTATTTATCACATCAGGTGCCAAAGCAAAAAAATTCCAGCAATATTCTTCCTCAGATGGGTCCCAAAACAAGATAATTGTTTTCTCTATTGAAGGTTTGCTAATGATTGCTAGGACTGCTGAGAAAACACTAACTTTTAAGAGGAATTAAATCAGAAATCTGATTAAAAGCTGCAATATGAACAGGCTTGTTCCCCCCTTCCTAGCATTTTCCCCCAAGTGCAGAATCTGGGGGTTTTTTTTGGGGGGGGGGGGGGGGGGAGGGGAATAAACCAAATATTGATCCATTGGTTGTGACAGGAATTGACTAATCAGCTTGATTGGACTAGCCCCATGAGGGCAAACTTATGACACGCATGCCAGAGGTGGCACACAGAGCCCTCTCTGTGGGCACACGTGCCATCGCCAGCTGCTCTTCCGGATTCCGTCACGTGGATGCGTGTGTGCCGGCCAGCTGATCTGGCACATGTGCGCACCGGCCAGCTGCTGTCTTCCGGGTTCCGGCGCATGCGTTCCAGTTTCGGCACTCAGTGCCGAAAAGGTTAACCATCACTGGACTAGCTTAACATTGTGGGTTGAGAGAAACTGACTACCCAAAGTCACCCAGGTGGCTTTCTTGCCTAACGTGGGATAGAGTTCACAGTCTCCTGGTTTCTAGCCTGGTGCCTTATTCGCTAGACCTAATTGGTTCTTGTAATATGAACAGGCTGTGCCGTGACAAACTTGATCACATAACAAGTGATATATTGACAGATAGAGTTGCTTATACCAGAACAATGCCATGTATCAAAAAAGTTTTGTCATTAAAATGAAAACTTTTTAATGTCTCAATGAGTTTAATGTAAATCCAGATTCTTTTAAGCTGAAGTCACAAGAAGTTATTTATTTGATTTATGTTGTTTTATACTGGGTTTTTTTTTCTTTTGAAGGAAACCTGTTTATGTTGCTTCCACATTTTATGGCAGATACATGCAATGCCTGGGACTTGTGGGCACATTTGAAATGTTGGGTGTAACTTTCCTAAAATGGAAGCTATCAGGAAAGTACAAGTTACAAGGCATTCATATTCACCAAAAGTCAAATATTGGAATTGCCCTCCACAATCTGTTCTATTACCCTCCTGTATTCTCTATTTTTAAGAATGATTATGGAGGCCAGACACATACAGTATTTATAAATATGTTAGAAATTGGCCAACAGATTTCCAAATTGGCAATTGCCCATTCTTTAAATATTTTTTCTAATATAATGCAAACAACATAACCCATTTTAGAAGGAAGATTGGAAACCACTTGGCAAAGCATGGCTTTATAGGACAATGCAAATAGTGCCCCTTCTAGAAATGATCCCACTCAGAGGATCAAAAGGTGCTGAGAGATATTGCATTGCCTATTTTGGCAAGGACTTACTGGCTTTGTTTGTGGGAAGGAATTCTTTTCCTTACACTATTCTTTTTAAAATGCTGTTTGGCAGCATAAGGTAACCCAACTACATTTTTCATATCAAAGCATCAGGCATCTAGCACGAATGGGTAAAATCAGTATGGCACAATACACCATTTTAGGTTATCTCTGGCACATTCATCCCAGGGTTGTCTTTAAAGAAATCAAGATTAATTTCTGAAATTCAGGAATTTGGAAAAGACCTGGGAATACTTCTAGAATAGACAAACTGCTAGAGATATCCATTAGAACATATTCTCATCAATGACTCAGCTCAAACCATAGAAATCTTGATTCTTCCTATATCAATTCAGTAGTTCATCATTTGAGGTGTAGAGGAAAACATTATTCATGTTTCCCCAAATTTAGGGGTCTTTACGAAATTAAAACATTTCATAATTGTTACATTTCATGCCCAACACCATTTGTTTGTTTGAACCGTAGCAAGAAGCCCAGTTAACACTCATTTTGATATTTGTTCCAAATTTCCATCAGATTGTTGTAAAACAAATCTCCTTTAAAGCAAGCGCATCCATAAACCTCTCATTTTTAGATTGCCTCTTTTTTTCTTCATAACATTTAGTCAAAGACCTCCCTTTTTTTTAAAAAAAAAAGTTTTTTAAAAAAAAGTCAGTAATCCATTTTCAAGCAAAAAATAGATAAAATAAAAGTGAATAACCACAGACCTTCCTAACACCTGTTTTAGTTAGTGGATGGGCTGGGACAACCCAGCTGCCTATACAGGGCATCCAACCAAGTTCTGAAAGGGAAAAGAATAATCACCCTGCATACCCCATACCCCTTCCACACACAATCTGCTTGCCTAGCACTAACCGTGTGCTGCTTTGTAGCTGGCTCACATAGGCTGCTATCAGCACATGCTCATCACTGAGCCCATCGGAGGGGGTGAGGCTTTGCTGCAACCTAGGGATATTGAAAGCAAAGGAAGCAAAACTCAACAGAAATGAAGATGAGGCAATGAAATAATGTAAATTATTTGAGGAATATAACATGATTAAAAAATAATAGTTAATAGATGTGAACGTTAGAAGGCGGCAGCGAGACGGACTTAAATAGGCGGGAGTTCCTGTTAGAAGTAAGGGATCAACAAGACATGAGGAATGAGGTAGGCTTGTCATTATATTCCTTTTCTCTCCACTTGGAAACTGCACTATTAATCTGGAGCCTGAAATACTGACAGGCAGCTAGCTAGGGTTCTAATTCATGGAAGAGCAAGCATGTTTATTACTTGGCAAACCCCAACTGTAACCACTCTCCTGTGCTTTGTTTATATGCATTAGCAGATGCATTGTTCTAACAGACATACAATTAAAGGATATACCCAGTCAAAACAGTCTTCTTTTGAGTATCCTACATATTCAAATCCATATTTTGGTGTATTCGGAGGACTGTCATTAGGCTGGGGCATCAGATTGGCTTCCATGCTCTGCCCCAAATTCTTGTCCTTTCAACAATCCGTTACCTTAGTCCTCTAGACAAACTCCTGAAAAAAAGTTCCCATTTCAACAGTAAGATAGAAAATAAACTCTATTCACTACCTCTCTCTGACCTCCGAAATAGGACATAACATAACCGGAATGTGGAAGAGGCAGGATGTCCATTAATGTAAGTAGGGCCTAGTTAGACAAAGGATGCCTTTGACAGAAAAGGCCTGCTTCCCATATATTTCCTTTCGTACAATATAAAAGAGGGCTTAACATAAGGAGAAAAAAGAGGAACAGAGATAGCTCATTTGTGGTCTCAGAAAGAGCAGAGAAAAACAGTTGAGTTGAGTCCTTGGAAAACTGATTAGACATGGGCTAAACACTTTTTTGGATATCCCAAAACCAAAGCACAAAAGCAAACACACACACACACACACACACAAACAAACACAGAGGAAAAAGAAACAAGAAATGCAAAGTGGGGAAAATTATTGTGGACATTTTAAATTTCATTAGTTTGTAAATGTAAGATGATTAATGCATATTATGGATATTCTACTTTGCTATGCCATCCTTTTAGGATTGATGTATATCAGGGGTGTCAAACTCGCAACAACATGTTGTTGTCACATGACGTATCGCAACTTTTTTCCCCTTCACTAAACCGAGGGTGGCGTGGCCAGCACTTGATGCATCCGGTCTACAGGCCGCAAGTTTGACACCCCTGATGTATATGAATGTAGTGTCATTTTGGATATTCAAGCTAAAAGTCTTAAAAAGTGCATAAAGTTATTTCTTTTTTAGGGACATTTTGAACTTTTAAAAAAATCTAATACATTACCAAAAAAAAAAAAAAAAAACCCAACTAGGAGACTGCTTTACTTTCTCTAAGATTTATGAATTATATTTATATAGGTATTTGTTTTTGAGATGACTTCATCTTACTGTGCCTAGGAGCCGGCTTGCTCAGAGCTGAGTAAATTGTCCTGAAGGAGTCAGAACTCATTTTATGCACCAAGATTAGGCAGTTTCTACAGAAATAATATTTAGTGGTTAATTGGGAACACTTAATAATGTTACTAAACAATTCAAGTTGCCCTATTTCATTAATCTGAAAAGGGCTGATTGGGTTCATGACATTTTGCTGGATTACTTTATTATGCTCCATACTGTTGTTCAATAAATCTTTTTCTTAATTGATTTCTTCTTGTCCAGATTGTGAAAAAGTATTCATTGACACAAATTCATTCTTTGGTAAGAAAAGTGCTGCTAGCAACAGCAGAAGGGACCTAACTGGAACCGGAACTGGAAATTTAGAGCAACTTCCATATTCAGGAAAGCTTATGAAACACTGGATTTTTTTCTTAAACAGGTAGACAGGTATCTGAAGTAGCTGCTTCTTTGGCTATTATCTATTGATTTCCTAGTTTTACAGCTGTTCTCCTTCTCCTAATAATCTGTGATGTAATGTAATTGGCTGAAGAAAATATTAATTGCTGTGCATTCACCATCACAAGGCAGCATAGCTGTGCAGCTCATAGCCCCAGCTAAAAATCAGATCTTTTTCCAATTTGGAGCAACTGACCTTTTGGAATAACATTTATGGCCTAAGAATATTTACAATGCTCCCCTTTGACCCCACATCTTGCTTTAATGTCATTACACTTTCCAGCTGGCTTGCTTGTGCAGTTTTATGAGCTCGCCATAAAGTTGAGCTTAGTGGCAATGAAAGCCACTCTGTGCAATAAACTAAGAGGCCCACCACAAGATCCAGATAGCATCGTATCGGAAGGCAAGGAATTAAGCTTCCCTCTTGGATAATGCAAAAAAGGCAGACACTCTGAATGCAGACGCCTGGCAATATTTTTCAAAGTAATATGGCTCTTAGTCTCTTTGGAGATGAAGAGAAGATTCTCCTTTTTCAGTGAAAGTAGTTACGCTTCACTTAAGGTGAGAAGCTCAGGCAAGGGTCCTTCTGCATAGAAATCCAACTTTCTTCAAGGAGTTTTCCATTGGGTAAAATCTGAGATCTTTTTACTGGTAAAGGGCGATTTGAACTTACTATTTGCTAACATAATTTTGGTACTGCTGTTTCTAATTCTTAAAACATTTTTATGCTATTGCTATCTGCTCTAACAGACGCTAGGCTGGAGAGGAGAACATAAATGTTTATAAAACTATTGGAAGTGTGTATGTTAGCATGATTTACACTGATAAACTTCTGCACATATGAGCCATTTCACGTCAATGCCTCAAACTGGAACATTATTTGCCTCACCTTTTAAACAGAAATCCCACATCTTTGAATTAAAGTCCATAATAATGCAAATAGGCCAGTCATCTTGAGGGTAAAAGAAATCTGTAGCCCTGATCTACAGAAGTTGTCGTTTATATCAGTGTTTCATTTTCTGCACTGCTGATGAAAGTGTTTTTAAATGTGAGATGCACTACAGACATTGCTAAAGTAATAAAAAAAATGTTAGATACTTAATCATATTCACATTCTAATTTTCTTTCAAGAAGTTCAAAGATGTTCTTAGGTTCAGTTATTTTCATACCAACCCCATGAGGTAGATTAAGCTGACAATGTATATCATTTGGACAAAAAACACAAAAGAAAGTCTTGTGGCTGCTTTTTAAAGATTGACAATTTATTCTGACAGAACATTTCACAGATGACAATAGGTTTTAGCAGACACAAATGATATTTTCAGAAGTCAGATTAATCTTGCAGATGATTTGCAAAACAAGAATGAATTTAAATATTCCAATTTTCTATTCAGAAACTTTTAATCTTCCGCTGAAAAATGGGCGATAAGTATAAAGCTAAGATTACAGTGAGGGAGAATGAGAATATAGGCAAAAAACAAACAGAGTAGATACAAAGTGTACCTTTCTTGTTCACTGAAAATTAAATTCTGGTTCACTGAACAACTGGATAGATAAAAGCATTTAATATTCAATTAAACTGGTTCAGACAGGCCTCTCTAAGAAAGGTATTCCTTAACTATTTCTAACATGGACAAAGCGCCATTGTCTTTGTTCACATCAGTGTTCAAAGCAATAAAAAGAGTCTTGATAGTAGAACTTAAAAGACTAGCAATTTCATATGGAAGCATACTGTTTTTAGATACTCTTATCTAAATGGTTAACAACTGAGTGATTCTGTGATGACTCTCTAATCTAGGCCTCTCATATCTAATTCCAATTTGCTTGAGGAAAAGATATATTACAATACCATATAGAGTTTAAATAGTTTCAGCATTAAGTATAAGTAGGAAAGTTTGAAAAAAAAATATCCACAGGAAGTTTTCAACTAAAGAAAATGTTAAAAGAGACATTTATACAAAATGAAAGATGGGTGTAATCCCAAAGGAGATGTACTAATAAGAGGCTGATATCTACAGAAAGTAAGTTACAAAGATTAAAGCAGAAAAGGAAGTGGGAATTGTAAAGGAAATTAGAAGTAACAAAAAGACTGTTTTGACTATGGCAATAATAATTTTAAAAAACTAAGAGGTGAGCTTGTTGTCAGGAGATATTAACAGGAACATGTGATGGGAAAAGAACTGAACTCTTCAAAGTAGAACTGTGTCCAAGTGGACTTAAGCAGAACAATTGACAAAAGAAGGAAAATAAGGACAAGTATAAGTTGTCCTTTTATGAAGGACACTGACAACTACAATTCTCCAGAGGAGAGCAACTAAGTTGTAAAAAGGCTGGAAGGAAAACCCTATGAGGTACAGTTGGTATTGTTGGGTATGTTTAGCCTGGAAAAGATTTTGGGGAGTCATGACAGTTATCTTCGCATATATGAATGGAGAAGGTAAGACCAAAAAAATCACCCAGTAGTTCCAGAAAATAAGGAAAAAAATAATAGACCCAAATTAGAAGGAAATAGATTTTGGGTGAACATCAGGAAAAAAATTCCTAGCAATAAGAACCAATCAGGAACAGTCTGCCTGTAGATGGTGGACTTTATTTTGTTGGAGATATACAAGTAAAGGCTGCATAACTATCTTCTAGGGATGCTATGAAAATGGATCCCTGAATGGTGATCTCCAGGTATCTGTTCAACAATGATTCCATAAATTCCATAATGTAAATTCCTTCTGGCAAAGGAGTTTGTTTACTGCTCTTGGACTGGTCACAGATGGCATCTTTCATCACTGAAATTTCTTTTCAAGAGGGCAAAGCCAACATTTTCCACACCACTTTAGCTAGCACTCTTTGTGAAAAATTAATTTTAAAAAATGCCACCTACAGCTTGCACAACTGTCAGGTCCTTCATCTACATAACTAGCTTTCAGTTTTTTAAATGAATAGTCAGTTAAGAAATAAGAATGGCTATTGCAAGTATCTGAGATAAATAACCAAGTTCAGTTTGGAGAGTTTAATCTACTATTTCCATTCATTTCTCAGGCTTCTAGGTCTATAAAAATCTTGAACCATTTTGAACTACAAAGCTCTTCCCTAAGT